GGAGATGCCCCCGAAGGGATCCCTGGAGATGTCCCAAGAGACATGCCATGGGATGTCCCCAAAGAGATGCCAAGTGATGTCTCCAAAGGGGTCCCCAGAGAGGTCCCCAAAGGGATCCCTGGAGATGTCCCAAGAGACGTGCCATGGGCTGCCCCTAAAGAGGTGCCCAGTGATGTCCACAAAGGGGTCCCCAGAGAGGTCCCCAGAGAGATGCCATGGGATGTCCCCAAAAGGGTCCCCAAATGCCATGGGATGTCCCCAAAGAGATGCCAAGTGATGTCTCCAAAGGGGTCCCCAGAGAGGTCCCCAAAGGGATCCCTGGAGATGTCCCAAGAGACGTGCCATGGGCTGCCCCTAAAGAGGTGCCCAGTGATGTCCACAAAGGGGTCCCCAGAGAGGTCCCCAGAGAGATGCCATGGGATGTCCCCAAAAGGGTCCCCAAAGAGGTGCCAAGTGATGTCTCCAAGGAGGTCCCAAGGGATGTCCCCAAAGGGGTCCCCAGAGAGGTGCCAAGGGATGTCCCCAAAGGGATCCCTGGAGATGTCCCAAGAGAGGTGCCAAGAGATGTCCCCAAAGGGATCCTTGGAAACCTGTCCAAAGGGGTCCCCGAAGGGGTCCCCAAAGAGGTGCCAAGAGATGTCCCCAAAAGGGACCCCAGAGACGTGCCAAGAAATGTCCCCAAAGGGGTCCTTGGGGAGGTGCCCAGAAGGGGACCCCAAAAGGTGTCCCAAGAGGTCCCCAGAGAAGTCACCCAAGAGGACCCCGAAAGGGGCTCCAAGGAGGTGCCCAGAGACGTCCCCGAAGGGGTCCCCAGCCAAGTCCTCAAAGGGATCCCCAAGGAGGTGCTCAGAGATTTCCTCAAAGGGGTCCCCGGCCAAGGCCTCAAAGGGGTCCCCCAAGAGGTGCCTAGAGGTGTCCCCGAAGAGGTCCCCAGCCAAGTCCCCAAAGGCGTCCCCAAGGAGGTGCCCGGAGAAGTCCCCAACAGGATCCCCACGGAGATGTCCAGTCAGATCCCCAAAGGGGTCCCCAAGGAGGTGTCTGGAGATGTCCCCAAAGGGGTCCCCAGA